CCCACAGCGCCTCATGGATGCCCAGTGTTGAGTTGCTACATCTGTGCGAAGTCTGTCCCATTTAGCACGGTGATAGTGCTACACAACATGATGGAGGTTGTTCTCAATGTGAAGGCAGGACTTCATCTCCACAAGGACTGTGCGATGGTCACTCCTACCAATACTGTCATGGACAGATGCACCTGCAGCTGGCAAATTGGTAAGGATGAGGTCAAGTATGTTTTTCCCTCTTGTTGGTTCCCTCACCACCTGACGCAGACCCAGTCTAGCAGCTACATCCTTTAGGACCCGACCAGCTCGATCAGTAGTACTGCTACCGAGCCACTCTTGGTGGTGGACATTGAAATCCCCCACCCAGAATATATTTTGCGCCCTTGCCATCCTCAGTGCTTCCATCAAGTGTTATTCATCATGGAGGAGGACCAATTCATCAGCTGAGGGAGGACGGTATGTGGTAATCCGTAGGAGGTTTCCTTGCCCATGTTTAACCTGAAGCCATGAGACTTCATGGGGTCTGGATACAATGTTGAGGACTCCCAGAGCAACTCCTCCTGACTGTATCCCACTGTGCTGCCCCCTCTGCTGGGTTGGTCCTGCTGGTGGGACAGACATATCCAGGGATGGTGGTGTCTGGGACATTGTCTGTAAGGTATGATTCTGTGAGTATGACTGTGTCAGGCTGTTGCTTCACTCGTCTGTGAGACAGCTCTCCCAATTTTGGCACTAACCTCCAGATGCTAGTGAGGAGGACTTTGCAGGGTCGACAGGGCTGTTGCTGCCGTTGTCATTTCCGGTGCCTAGGTCGATGCCAGGTTTTATTTCTTTGAGACTTTGTAGTGATTGGTACAACTGAGTGGATTGCTAGGCCATTTCAGAGGGTAACTGAGTCAACCACAATGCTGTGGGTCTGGAGTCACATGTAGGCCAGACCAGGTGAGGATGGCAGATTTCCTTCCCTGAAGGACATTAAGGGGTGGTGGTCATTAAGGCACATTGCCTGATTTTTCTTTAGCACCGGGACGATAGCGGTCTTGAAGCATGTGGGAACCTCAGATGGGAGTAGGAGAGGTTAAAGATGTTTGCGAATATTCCCAGCAGCTGGTGCACACAGGATCTGAGTGCATGGCCAGGGACTCCACCCAGGTCAGTCACTTTCCTTGGGTCCACTTTCAAGAAGGCCGATCTGACATCTGTGGTAGTGACTTTGGTACAGGTGCACGCAAAGCTGTCAGGGCAGGTGACATCATTTCACTGACCTTCTGTTCAAGGCGAGCACTCAGCTTGTGAATAGCCAAGGTCTTTTCCCCAGAATGGAAGAGTGTAAAACCAGAGGGCAGAGGTCTACACCTTGTTATCTCAGATTTTCCAGCATCTGCAGTTCCTACTATCTCTGATACAATTTTAACCCCACTGCGAAGTCGCTTCTAAGGATGCCTACCCTGAAGAAGTTACCCTCCTCCCTCCGGACAAACCTCAGGGGATCTCTCTCCCACTGCAACCTCTCCACCTATCTTCTCCTCTATCCATCTTCTTTCTGCCTCTCCCTCTCTCCCTATTTATTTCAGAACCCCCTTCCCCTCCCCCATTTCTGAAGAAGCGTCTAGGCCCGAAATGTCAGCCTTCCTGCTCCTCTGATACTGCTTGGCCTGCTGTGTTCATCCAGCTCGACACCTTGTTATGGCAGAGGTTTAAGGTGAGATGGGAAAGATTTAAAAGGAACCTGAGAGTAACTTTTCCACACAGACGGTGGTGCTTTTATGGAATGGGCTGCCAGAGGAAGTGGTGGAGCTGGGTATAACTATAACATTTGGACAGGTACATAAGCAGGAAAGGTTTAGAGGGATAGGGGCCACACACAGGCAAAGGGGACGAGTTTGGTTTAGGAAACCTGGTCAGCATGGGCAAGCTGGGCCGAAGTACTGTTTCTGTGCTGTGTGATTCTATGACCCTGTGACACCATCACACTCTCTCATGCACGCACAGATGTAAAAATACAGAAAGGCACACACAGATGTAAAAATATAGACACACACACACACTCGTGCGCACACAGACACTGATGTAAAGACAGAGGACACACACAGGCTCTCTCACATACACGAAAGGACAGAGAGGGAGAGAGAGACACAGATGTAAAGACAAATGGACATACACTTTCTCACACACATACATAAAGACACAGAAAGATACACACACTCTCTTGTACGCATGCACACAGCCACAAACACACACAGATGTAAAGACAGAAAAAGACATACACATATTCTCACACTCTCTCCCTGGGGAGACAATGGCCGTGTGGTATTATCGCTGACTGTTAATCTAGCAACCCAAGTAACATTCTGGGGACTGGGTTCAAATCTTGCCACGGCAGATGGTGGAATTTGGATTCAATAAAATATCTGGAATTAAGAATCTAATGGTGACCGTGAATTGATTGTCAGAAAAGCCCATTTAGTTCACTAATGTCCTTTAGGGAAGGAAACTGCCATGCTTACTTGGTCTGGCCTATATGTGACTCCAGACCCACAGCAATGGGGTTGACTCTTAACTGCCGGATGGGCAATAAATGCTGCCTGGCCAGCAACGCCCTCATCCTGTTAATGAATTTTTTAAAAAATGATCTCACTTACTAAAACACACTCGCGTGCACACACACATTCACTCATACACATAAAGACATAGAAAGTTACACAGAACGCATTTTCTATCTCACTCTCACACACACACACTCTCTCACACGCTTACACAGAGACACACATAAAGATAGTGAGAGAGACAGAGAGACCCACTCTCATGCACATGCCTTCTCACACATGCATAAAGACACAGAAGATGCACAAACACTCACAAGAACACAGACACAAACACACGCTTGGCCCATCAAGTCTACACCAATTCACCAATGAACATGTTTCAAGATGTCAGCACAGTAAGACACTCGAGTCGGCGTTCCTCTGCTTAGCAGTTCCTTTTCCTTTATCTTTCTTTCTTTTCCTCTATGCAGCCATTTCTCTGCCCGTACCCAAACCCAATACCCCATCTGGAGGATGGAGGTGAGATGAGGGGAGATGAATAGTGGCTGGAGCCCAGGTGGGAGCAGGGCGAGCGCGGGCCGAGTCCTGGAGCAGGGAGCAGAATGAGTCCCGGAGCGGGGTGAGGTCCCGGAGCGGGGAGCAGGGCGAGTCCCGGACCGGGGAGCAGGGAGCAGGGCGAGTCCCGGAGCTGGGACCGGGGCGAGTCCGGAGCGGGGACCGGGGTGAGTCCCAGAGCGGGGAACAGTGCGAGCGCGGGCTGAGTCTCGGAGCGGGGAGCATACCGAGTCCCGGAACGGGGAGCAGGCCGAGTCCCAGAGTGGGGAGAGGGGCGAGTCCCGGAGCGGGGAGAGGGGCGAGTCCCAGAGCGGGGAGCAGGGCGAGCCCTGGAGCAGGGAGCGGGGCGAGTCCCGGAGCAGGGAGAAGGACAAGTCCAGGAGTGGAGAGGGGGCGAGTCCCGGAACGGGGAGCGGGGTGAACGCGGGCCAAGTCCCAGAGCAGGGAGCGGGGTGAGCACGGGCCGAGTCCCGGAGCGTGGAGCAGGCTGAGTCCCGGAACAGGGAGCGGGCCGAGTCCCGGAACCGGGAGCGGGCCGAGTCCCAGAGCGGGGAGCGGGGCGAGTTCCAGAGCAGGGAGAAGGGTAACTTCCGGAGCGGGGAGAGGGGTGGGTCGGGGAGCGGGCTGAGTCTCGGAGCAGAGCGAGTCCTGGAGCATGGAGCAGGGTGAGTCCCGGAGCTGGGAGCAGGGCGAGTGCGGGCCGAGTCCCAGAGTGGGGAGCAGGCCGAGTCCCGGAGCGGGGAGCGGGGCGAGTCCCGGAGCAGGGAGCGGGGCAAGTCCCGGAGCGGGGAGCGGGGCAAGTCCTGGAGCGGGGAGTGGGGCGAGTCCCGGAGCGGGAAGAAGGGCGAGTCCCGGAATGGAGAGCGGGGTGAGTCCCGGAGTGGGGAGCAGGGCAAGCGCGGGCCGAGTCCCGGAGCGGGGAGCGGGCCGAGTCCCGGAGCGGGGAGCGGGCCGAGTCCCGGAGCGGGAAGAAGGGCGAGTCCCGGACTGGGGAGCAGGGCGAGCGCGGGCCGAGTCTCGGAGTGGGGAGCAGGGCGAGTCCCGGAGCAGGGAGTGGGGTGAGTCCCGGAGCAGGGAGCAAGGTGAGCGCGGGCCGAGTCCCGGAGTGGGGAGAGTCCCCGAGCAGGGAACAAAGCGAGTCCCAGAACAGGGAGGAGAGGGAGTCCCGGAGCAGGAAGCGGGGCGAATCCCGGAGCGGGTAGCGGGGCGAGTCCCGGAGTGGGGAGCAGGGAGAGTCCCAGATGGACGCCAGTGTGTGGAGACACTGTGGCCTCCTGTTCTATTGCGCAGCAGGGACTCATGTTGGAAAAGAACTATAATTTCAGTACTTTATAGACACCTTTTGTTCTCATTCTGGAGTATTTTATCTCGGTATTCCCATGCTAATTTACTATTTCAAGTCTGTGACAACACAGAAAGTATCCGTACCAAGGTACACTGTACCTAAGATGGTGCTGAGGGATGACATTACAATTTTTTCACTGGACTCATTCTAGCGCACGTGACAATAAAAGCTGTTCTGACATCCCACCTCAGCCATACCCTATCCCTGTAACCCTGCAATTCCCATGGCTAACCCATGGCTAGGTAGCCCGCACATCCCTGGACACTATGCGTAATTTCCCATGGCCAGTCCACCTCACCTGCAAATCTTTGGGCTGTGGGAGGAAACTGGAGCACCTGGAGGAAACCCACACAGACACAGGGAGAACATGCAAACTCCACATAGACAGTCGCCTGAGGGTGGAATCAAACCTGGATCCCTGGCACAGAGCCATTACAAACATGACCACTACTAACAAAGATACGTTTTCAGAGGCTTCAAATTAACTTGCTGACAGAGAGATACTGTTCTGATTGCGAAATGTAAGTTGGGAAGGCGGCAGCCTACATGTTGGTGCTATTTGAAAGATTACATCATTTGATTGGTAGTACCGCTTGAACTGATGTTACAACACAGTTCCGTAAAAAACAACCACATCCTCATTCAGAGTATCTGCAAAAGTGGCAAAAACAGCACCTCCAGAAAGGACTGACACTGCAGGAATATTGAACCCGAACTTCAACTGAGCAGCCCAACTGAGCACAGCTTTATCTACAGTGTGAACACATCGGGCTCAGTGTGTGTTAGCAAGTGAACACACCGGGGTAAGTGTGTGTTAGTGAGTGAACATACCGGGCTCAGTGTGTATTAGTGAGTGAACAGACCGGGCTCCGTGCATGTTAGTGAGTGAACAGACCGGGCTCAGTGTGTGTTAGTGAACAGAAAGCGTTCAGTGTGTGTTAGTGAGTAAATAAACCGGGCTCAGTGTGTGTTAGTGAGTGAACAGGCCGGGCTCAGTTTG